CAGCGGGACGGCTTCACCAGCACTACCTCAAGATCGATGCTTCACCGGGGCTGTCGGCACTGGCGTCAGCCAAGAGGCAGGCAGGTTCCAGGCTGCAACGCCCCCAGCCTGGACTGGTACCTGTAGCCTCTGCTAAGCCCCTGCTCAGCTGCTGTCATTCACCCACTGTCACCCAGAGGCTGAAGGCTAATGCCGCGCCAGCCGCTCCCTCCCCTGCCCGATAACACAGCGTCTTGCATGGAGTAGCCTCCTTCTGCTGTCACAGGCCGACCTATTTCTCACAAATCCTGACTGCTCTGGCCTTAAAACATCTTGACGCAGTGCTGAAACCGGCCTTGGCATGGCAGCGAGTCCCCGATTAAGCAGGAGCCGCCACGGCTTGGTTTGGGCTTTGCAGCCAGCAGACGCTGGCTGGAACAGCAGAGCAGCTGCAGCGTGGCTCAGATCGAGGGGCACCAACGTGCTCATCAGGAATAATCAGGAGTTATTCTTGATTAAAAGGAGAGACACCACAGCTCAACCAGGCTACACAGTTCTTGTGGCTGGCAGCCATGGGATGCTGGAGGACAGGGTTCGCTCTGAGGCTGGAGGAGCTGGGGTGATGACAATGGGCCAGGGACGCAAGAGAAGCCCTTTGTGTGAGCAAAACCAGCACACCCCAAGCACTCGTTCATGCTGCGGGGCACAGGCGTGGGAGCTGAGATCCCAGGTCAAGACGGTTTCCTCCACAAAGGCAGCACAGCTCAGCTGCAAGCAGGGTGCTAGGTCTGCTGGCACACCGGTCCCCAGGGCAGGAGGACCTCAGGCAGTTTCTGTGCAGCCTCAGCTACAGAAACCACCTAGTGATGCCTTCAGTGAAGTCCCCAGCCTCCCGCAGAGCCACAACAGGGCGGCCAGCCAGGGCACTTGGCCAGAGGGAGCAGCAGCTTTGCCTTGCTGGGGACCCAGCTTGTCCCATGGTGAGCTGGTCAGATGCAGGAACGGGTGTCAGCTCGCACCTACAGGATCTTTTCCAAGGATGCTGCCAGGTAAACCTCCTCATGCCCTGGCTCAGGCACAGGGAGATCTCAGTGCATGGTGGTAGGTCAAGGACTCTGGACATCCTAGAGGTGAAGTGATGTGGGTGTCAAGCCTCTGGGTGGTGAAGGACCTCTCATAGTTTCTCTTCCCTGAGAAAAGCCCTTTTCAGGCTTGCCCTGGTAGAGAGACAGCGATGAGCACAGCATCCCAGAGTCACGGTGGGACCCTCCTGCCCCCTTGTCCCACACCTCAGCACAGGAAGTTTCTGGTGCTCGTTCCCAGTGGAGAAGCCACAAAGAGACTGTGGGATCCTTAGCCTGAATTTGAAAAATGTGCAACTGTTTGGAAGAACTTCAGCCAGAGCTGAAAATTGGGCTGGAAAGCTCACAGAAGCAGCGTGACGTGGGGCAGGTGACCTGGCCAGCTGTGGGGAGCTGAACTGGGGGAGGTTTATTTAAATCAGTGCTCCCAAGTGAGATGGCCCAGTAGCCCCAGGCTCCAGCCTTGAAGATCACCAGACAGCCTGAGCAAAGCCAGCCAGGTGCTGGTGAGCATCCCTCATAGCTGCCTGTGCCTGGTAAGGGATGGTCACCCCCAGCAGACCTACATCAGTCGCGTCCGGCTGTGGTGAGGCTGCCAAAACCCTGAGCACGCTGGTGTCAGCCCAGCACTGGGACACGCTGGGGAGCATCCACAGATGGCCTGGCCTTGCAGGAGATGCTAGACATCTCCCTGCCCAGCATGGGGACTGGCTGGACCCTCCCTTGGCCTCACAGCCCCCCAGGCTGGCAGTGTTCCTACCAAGCAAACCTGAGCTGATCCCACCGCCCCAACCCGCTACCACTGTCTTCCCCTTGGGGTGAACCACTGCGTCACCCAGCAGCAACCAGGATTCAATGCTCGTGGCTGTTCCCATCCCACCAACAGGGATCTCACAGCCCCCACCCCCTTGCCAGGACCCTGGCCCCTCGTTGTCCTACCATCCCCCTCGCAGAGGGAGAGGCCGGCCGGCGGGGAGGTCCCGCCTGGCCGGCGGCGCTTGCGGCGAGCCCGCCATCCGGCTCAGCTGAAGCACATTTTGTTCGGCGCTTCCTGCATCCTGCCCCATCCCCGCGCCGGGGGGGCGGGTCAGCCCGGGGTCAGCACACTAATTGCAGCCGGGGGGACAGCGGGACAAGGTGGCCACCAGCCCACTGTGCTGGGGTACCGCTGCAAAGAGGGGTGGGTGTCCCCCCCCAGCCGAACCCGGCACCCCCCCGGTGTGCTGGGGTGCCCCTGTGGCAGGACGGGACATATCTCTGACACCACCGCAGAGGTTGCAGCTCCTGCTGCCAGCTCCCCCGCAGCTCACCCTGCACTCAAGGCTGCGGATGCTGTCCTCTCCAAGCCAGGCCAGTGCCACCATCATGCAAACCACTGCTGGCATCGCCACGGTGCCGCTGCACCAGCCCCACACCAGGGGTCCGTCCTCTGCTGGCATCACTTGCCAGAACCTTCCCACAGGGAGCCACCAAGGCCGAGCGGGGATTTAGACATGTCTGTGCCCTCTGCAGCAGCACGCCCTGGGGACAGAGGCAGGTTTTGTTGCCCTTCTGCTAACTCTGTTTGATGCGGATGTTAATTAAAAGTGACCCCAGGCCAGCCCTTGTGGTAGCACCCAAGGTGCTCCCTCGGTGCTGTGCTGAGCTCATTATCATCATCCCGTGCTCCCCATGCCACCCAACTGCCGATGGCCACCCCAGCACCCAGCCCTGGGGACAGCAGCCCTGGGTGCCACTTGCCCACCAGCACCTGGGCCGGCAGCAGGGGCAGCCCGTGGTGGCACCACGGCTGAGCATGATGGAGTTGGTGGGCTTCACACCCTCAGGGGGTGCCTGAGGTCCTGCCTGCCTGGGCAGCAGGTCGTTAGGCAAGGCTCGTTGGTGAGCACGGGGCCCCACACCTCCACACACACCCGGGGGGCACGGATGCAGCCCAGCATGGGGGTGAGCAAGAAGTAGGGTGGAGGGGCCACCAGCAGCTCCGGCGCCCCATCTCCCACCTTCCCACCACCCCACCCCACTCACAGGCAGGGTTCGTATTCCACCCTCTCTCTGGCTCCTTCCTTTCCCCCAAACCTCATGGGGAAACCCCTCCTCTCCTCGTTCCCTGCTGATGCCCGCGTCCTCGCTGCGAGCACCGCGTGCCCTGCTATCGCTGCCCTCCCCTGCCAGCGCCCACACTCCACGCACAAGCCCA